AGCTTAAATTCTGAAATAAATTAAAATAAATTAAAATAAATTATACTTATTTAAAAAGTTTTCTCAAAAAATTTAATCAACACTAGATACTTAACCACATTAAACATATTCCTACCTCAGATGTTCTCGCATCATTTCGAACTGTAAACAAGATAGATTTTCTTATACGTTCTTCTTTGTTCTTCAAATTTTTAGCGATCATTAAATGTTTAAAGTTTCATTGTTTTCCAATAGCAACTGTAATAATTTGTCGTTTTTTTTTAAGTACAATGCATATAAAAGTTCGTCATTTAATTTCATAATTTTCGGTTCAATAAATTTTATCTCTAAAATTATAATTTTTCCAAACTTTTGACAGATTCAAATTATCATTGTTTAAAAAGTATTGCTATGATTGTTTTCTTCTTAGTTCATTGTTGATTCGGAGGATTTGGAAATATCATCGGTTGATTTATTTATTTGTGGACTTTGGATTTCATTATCAAGTTTTTCTTTTAATGCATGTACTTCTTTATGACCATTTTTGGACAACTTGCTGTAAATCGAAATCACACCTTCGCGCACTCTTATGGTTAAATTTTTTTTGAAATCATCTAAAAGATCAGTTGAACGGGTATGAGATGCTGATTTTTTTTGAAAATTTTTTTTACTTCTATATCGGTATATAATTGAAACACAAATATCCATACTATTTGTCAACCAGATAATTATAACTTGATTATTATAATTGGTTGGGTTAAATGTAAAAGTTGTTACAACATCCCGATCGTATATTTCAAAAAATTCTTTGACGAATTCGATAAAAAGCTGCTAATATAATTTAATTAGTTCTTATATAATAAGTAAATAGCGTAATTTTTAAGATAAATAAATACCTTAAATGTATTTGAAATCTTCATGTGTTGCTAGTTATTAATTATAAATTTTATTATACTCAAAACATCAGTGTTCCGGCAATTTGTACAGATTGGCGATTTCCGTATGGTAGCAAAATTTTTAATAATTTTTACAGAAAAATAAAATAGGTGCTTGTATCATTTATTTGTTGAAAAATTTTTTAGATCTTGAAGCGTCGCGTCTTCCGATTAATATAGCTAGTTTTTCGTCGATTTGTCTTTTTTTTTAAAAAAAATTTTGGATCAAATTCATGATTCTAGTTATTTGCTTCTGAATTTATTTCTCATCTCTTGAAGCATCTTCGCGTCTTCCTGTTGATCGTCAACTTTTCATCAATTGACTTTCTTTTGTTTAAAAGAGTATATATGCTTTACAGGCGATGGTGAAGAATTTATGGTTACATCAAAATTGCCACATAAAAGAATGTTACTTGTGAGCACATTTTAAATACCTTTGAAAATATTCTTAAAGATTCAAACTTTTGAAAGCACCACTCCATGTTGTATGGTTTCGAATATGTAGGCAACTAAAGACAAATAACAATTTTAAAAGAAGTAAGTTCTAGATTCAACTAAAAAGAATTTTCAAAAAGTAGATAATTAAAAGTATTGCAAACAACAGTGAAAGGACTCACATAAATAACATTTACATATTCAATGTATTGAAAGCAATGATATTGTAAGTACCTCTAACAGCAATATTGAAGTATCCTTGAAATCGATCTTGAAGGCCCGAGAAATGTTGAGCAATAGTTAAAGTAACCAAACGTGTCTAATATTTTTCATATGCGTTAATCAATACGCGTTAATCATGATCAAGCTATTGTAAACGCGTGAAGATATTATTTAAATACTTTATTGTATGGTCACACACATCCGAATTTCATGGACGATTTTCAAGTTTCATGAGTTTTCATTCGAGCTGACCAATAAAAATGGACCTATAATGATACAGATATTATTTTCGTGCCCAAAAATTCAACGACACCGAAATAATAAAGGCCCTATAATCTATACCAACAATAGTGATTCCAATAATGACGATAATACAATAACGATAATACAATAACGATAGTTCAAGCAACGAAATGGCAAACGATCATACACCTAATTTTTCAAGTTAATAGCATAATATTTGATTTTCAAGTTAATAGCATAATATTTGACCAACCAAATTGCTAGAAAAGTTAAGTTCGGTCATAAAATTATTAGGTGATTATGGAGCACAAAATAATTTTTGATAACAATATTTGAGATGAAATTTTAAACGAACTTACTGTTCATATAATAAAGGTTCGCTATGTCGTTATACAGTTCGAATAACCAAAAGAATTGTATTGAAGGAGGATAGACTGCCATAAGAGTGATATTATCGTAGGTTTTTTTTTTTTTACACATGCCCTCTTTATGATTTACCGAAGCAGGAAATGTGGCATGTAGGCATATAACACTTGTTTAATTCTTCTCTTTTTTTTTTCCATTGAGTTCATTTTACTTATTTTATATATTATGTTCCTTATATTAAATATTGAGATGTCTGAAGCGTAACAAAGAGAGTACTCCAAACTATGTTATTATATTTCAGTAAATGAATGTTACAGAGTAAAAAACCTGTAACTATATTTATTGATTTACTATGATAAGTTACAGGTTTTCACTCTGCAGACAATCAAACCATAACTCTGTAGTAAATCAATGCTTCGACATTTATCAAATTCTGATAACTAAATCAATTTGCAAACCTAAAAACTTTCGGGTCCCTTGATTGGAGATAGAGATATTACTCATTCAGAAATAGTGTTTAGTCAAATCCGACCCAAATTTTGACCAAAATCAACACATGTAAAATAAAAAAAAAGTTCTTTAGGACAAAGTCATCCATAATGATTCTTATGGCTCCATATAGACATCAACACTTTTTTATTAGCAATGATGATAGACCTGACACATATATCCAGAACGGACAAAACAAGAAAATTTGATATAACTGTTTCAGGAAAACAGTGGTCAGATGCGCTTTTTAGAAGCTCGAACGTTCACAAGTGCATATTCTCTAACATGTCATTAGACGTTATAACATAACAGAATTAATTAAGCAAAATTAAGCAATAACTTATTGCTATAAACAAATGTACAGTAGTAATGTATACGAAAAATAAAATGTAGGTACTTTAATTACTGGGCTTTTCACCGGAAATCAAATCTACGTAGAAAAAAAATACCAATCCATATTTGGTTAAAAAATTAATCAAAATAATTATTAGTCAATCATGGATTGGTAATTTTTCTAAATGAAAAGCTCTGTAAAAAGAAAACTATTGCGTAAAAATATTAATAATTTCTATTACTAATAATAGTAATAAAATATATTTAATAATATATAACTAAAAATTTCTTAATACTGATATAATTTTTTGTTGACGTGTTGTCCCAAGGAAAAGCATATAACAATTATAGATCCACACTAAGAGAAATGTACCCACTTCACCTTGAATATATAAAAAGAAATGTATCCACTGATTTTTTAGTAATCAAGATATTTACAAATTCCTCTGACGAAGTTTTCTATTTTTAATTTAGCTTTTGGTGACCTTATTTTCACAGCGAATTAGCGGATCCTATGATTTAACACGAAAAAATATGCGAGTCTCATCTAACTAACTATCAGACTTGTATAAAATATATCTTACTACGATTTAATAAGAAATGGATGGAGCTTATACAGTATGGCTGGGTCGCTATGCTTTGTTACCAGGTATATTGAGACAAAAAAAATTAAACTAGGTTATTCAAATAAATTTCAATAAACTTTTGATATAGGTAACATCGTAATAATTAACATACTGTATTAAAGATTATTTATATTATTTATACTTTTTTTAAAGTACATTTTGTTAATTATGTGAAAAAGACAATCTTTTGTTTCGACAATAGCTAAGATTTATTATTAGAGCTAATAATGAACTCATCAGCATTACGAAAAAATTTTTTTTTATACTGTATTTTTGGACGGAGATATATTGGCAAAATATAATCAATTTCGAATTTTATAAACTTAATTTTGAAAAAAAAATCTAGATGATATCTAAGTTACGGATTTTTGCTCTCACGCACTCAAATTATCTTTTATTTGTTTACGATAACCTGATCAATTATTCCATGCGAAAACCTTCCAGATCATTCTATAAAAGATATCACATTTTACGAAAAGCAAAATTTCTTTTGAAGATTAATATTACCGATGATAATCACACAATCTAATAGGAAATGATTAAAAAATCATTTGAAGAGAGAATTCAATATATATATATATATATATATATATATATATATATTGAGCATGTATCAAAAACCATAAAAACGTTGAAAAACTTTCAAATTATAAAGATTATGAGCCGACGATAAGACATATTTACAAAAATAAACAAATTTTAAAATTTGAATAAATTTCTTGAATACTGTAGTGTAAATCAAAAACACCATTATAGATACATCAACAAGACTGTAATAAAAGCCATAAATTGCGAATTATATTGTGAATCAAAAATATTACATTTGGGTGAATATGTATTAGCCCACGCATACAAAGTGATATGAAATTTTGATAAAGGAGAAATGGTTTATATACATGAGGTAAAAAACATTTTTACCTCACAATACATTAAGTGAGAGTACGTATCAGCGAGGTAAAAAATAAAAACCAAACGAAATAATTTTTACCTCATGTAACAAAAAAAAATTTTAAAACATTACTTTAAAAAAAAGTGATGACAAGTTATCAAAATTCAATCAAAGTACATTACTTTTAAAAAAAAAAATGAAGAACAAGTTATCAAATTAAATTAAAGTAATGTCACAAGAAAACATAAATAAAAAATACATGGGTCCACACATTCACTAGGAAGTGCTGTTATAAATAAATAAAGGAGTGCGAATTGTAAGAATATAACAATACGATGAGGATAATTTTAAGATAATGCCAAAAAAAGAAATTTGGTGTGCGGGGTTTAAACGAAAAGAAGTTATATATATATATATATACATATATACATATATACATATATACATATATATCTATATATCTATATATATATATTGGGCAACCTATTTATCGGCCAAGTAAACCAAATCACTCATTAACCAAGAGATCCTCCTAAAAAGATATCTAAATGTTTTTCTTTTCTTTATATTACGTTTACTCATGCCATCATCTTGCCTAATCATTCTAATTAGGCTATAAAATGCTCTGCAAACATTTATGCGTTGTTTTGAAGAAGTTTCAAAAAACTCGCATTTAAGTCGTTTAGCTAAATTCTCGCCTTCCTCTATAGATACCTCACGGCCTATAGCTTGTTCACATCCGTTGCCCACTAATATTATTGGAACTTGGACACTATCCTTGGTTCGGGTGACATGGTTATGGAATTTTTCTATTCCTTCAAATGTTCTTCTCTTTGCTATTGAATAAACCAGAAGAAAGCCATCACATTCACTATAATTATAATTTTTTAAATTTTGTTAGTAAAATTGTATTATTACGTTTTTTTGGAAAATCCAAATTGAAAGCGTTGTTTAATAGTGCTTAATAGTGCTTAATAGTGTTTAATGGTACTTACTTGACCCATTTATCATGTAATGATATATATTCCTCTTTATTAATAAAAAAAAATGTACGTAATTACATAATTAGTATAATTAATACAATCAAATTATTAATTTCAACATGAAATTTTACATACCTTGACCAGAGGTATCAAGTATTTCAAGAATACAAGGTATATCATCAATAACGCATTGTACACTATATGAGTCATAATATCTTGGGTCATAAGTCTATAATAATTTAAAATTAAAATAAATAAAATACTCTTTTATAAAAGTGTCAAATCGATTTATAAATCTATCAATACGAACTTCTATTGGTAAATTTGATTAATTATAATAAATTGATTAATCATAATTTAAGAGTAATAACTTAAGAGCAATAATTTAAGAGCAAGTTTAGCATATATTAAATAATAATCCACGGTATTTACCGGATAAACAGCCCTGACATATCTGTTAATTCATGTACGAAAAATTAATCAACGAAAATTAATCGACGAAAATTAATCAACGAAAATTAATCGACGAAAATTAATCAACGAAAATTAATCGACGAAATTTTCAATGAATATCATATGAAGCTTATAACAAACCTGGATTGTGAGCTCGGTCTATATTAACAATAAAAAAAAAAAAAGAGTTATAAACATACATCGATAAAATAAATAAATAGAAAATATAAAAATTGATAAATTTTTACCTTTCCTACACCTTCCATTCCAAGGACTAGAAGCTTATGTGTTTTCATTTGTGGAATAGTTTAACGAGAAAAAAGGATCGGTCGTTACAAAGGACAAAATATTAGGGATTATGATAAATAGTAAATGAAAGTAATAAATATCATTAGTTCATAAATATTCAATCATCAACTAAATCATAGCGATAGGTAAAGAACGTAGAAGAACTTGAAAGAATTTATATCATGTCACAGGGACATTAAATATAGATGGATATGATGACGTTATGGTGTTTACATAATCCATGGACGAGTTTTTTGCATGATTCGGAATTATTGGAATCAATCTCCTTTTGTTAATAAAAGTAGCACAATTGTCTCAGCTTTTTTGTGTATGTGTTACGGGAGTTACCGGTATATGCAAACAAATATGAGCCCGTTTCTGTGTCAATTACGGTTTTTAGAAATTAATAGAATTCAACGGTAATAACACTTCTCAAAAAAGCCATTACAGGAGAACCACACATAATGCTTTTTAAAAAATTACATTGTGCGTACTTACTAATATATCATTTACAGACTAACGAATATTCATTATATAAATGGACATCCAACTTTCTATTTATGACACAATGCAAACATTGCCTCCTGATTAGAGGAGTAAAATTTTGTAGATTGATACGATGATAATGGATTTTATTGGTTTTTTTTATGTTATCAAATTTGTATTTAGCATTAGATGAGAATAATAATTATTATTATATTTTTATTTGTTTGCTGTTAACGTTTCTGATGCAGTATTACCTAAGTGTAAGAACAAAATTTGTATACTTTATTTTCGAAACTTTTTAAAAATTCGGTAATTTGCCGTGGAATTGGATTCTCTGCATGAAAAAAAAAATGTGATTTTTTTTTTCACGGTTCTAGAATTTTTAAATATTATATGAAAATTTTTTTTTTTAAGCACGGTAAAGCCCTATATAATAAATATTTTGAAAATGAATTATAAATATCAACGTTAATAATAGCGATAGGTCCTGATAATTCCGTAATGGTTACAATTTAATTTTGCCATTAACTAATTAAAAAAATTAAAATGTTTAGACCTGGTTTTTGACGATGCTAATTGGTTGTTGTGTTAATCTTACAAATTGGCTTTTTATCTAATTAGATAATCACAAAAATAGATTTTTTATTTGGTAATTTAAACTTTTTAATTCATTTCGTAAACAATTAAAAAAAAAAAGCTTTAGTAATTTTTTTTCTATATTAGTTAATGTTGGCTTTTTTTTTAAAAAAAACAATTATTTTATTTTTTTTAAAAAAAAACAATTATTTTATTTTTTTTAAAAAAAACAATTATTTTATTTTGTTTAAAATTAACGTTAGCTATTAAAAGTTTAGTTTTTAATTTTTTTAAAATTAACATTAATTATTTATTAAAAGTTAGTTTAGAATTTAATGTTAATTATTTATTAAAAGTTTAGTTTAGAATTTAATGTTACACGATATGCATTTATTCCGGAAATTGTATCCTTAACGTTAAAAAAAAATCATTACGTATATTTTGGTTCAAAGTAATATTCATGGAATGGCTCGTATTTTGTATAACATGTGAATTAGTGAATTTGATATGCTACATCAGGAGGGTAAAATAAAACGTTACCTGAGAGAGAATCTTTTGCTACATAAATTATTCGTCAAGTAAATCGGTCGTGAAACCTTGAAGTCTTCTTTAATACATTTATTAATAATTTTAAAAAATGCTCATTCTGCTCTTAAATTACTATATTCTTGCCTGCTATATATGGTTCTAATAATTACTGACTAGCGTATCTAGATATTTACAACAGTCAATATTGTATCGAGATGTTTTTGGTGGGGATATAAATCGAAGATAAATGGTTGATATGGTCATAAAGTCAAAATTTTATACGTCAATTCTATAAGTGTCAGTAGAGACTGGTTCTGTCTCAGGTATAAGTAGAGATTTGAATTGATTAATAAATTACAGAAAAGTTATTTAATATTTTGTAATATGCGTAAAA